TGAAAGCATTAGACATTTATGACTCCTGTTTGTATGAATGAAATAAATACAGTTAAACTAAATACTTGGAATTCTGCAGCTATGAAATATTTTTTTCAATATAATGAATTCATAATGTTACACCATTACAACATCCGAAACAAGGGCGACTGAATTTGCTTTTATGCAACCCATGTTCAGTGATGTTTATGGATTGATATAGCATTTCAGGACATAAATTGGAAGAGATACAGGAGTCGTATATAAAAGATAGATAATCAAAATAAATTTGAAGTAGACAACAAATTGTTTCATTATTGTACCGAGTGGGTAATATTCTCCAGAAACTTGAGTTACTGAGTAAATCATATCTAAACCACTAATAACACACAAATTTCAAGTCACTATTATCCCCGTACACCTCGATACTGTGTTTGGATTGATAAATGGTGTATTGTCTTATAGCAGCTCATTCTCCGCCAGGAATTTCCCCTGGAGAGTAACTGGTAGATATGCCGACAGTGCACACCCTATACTATAAATATTGTATCCGATATATTATTTATATCATTCCTCACATGTTTAGTTAACCGCTACTAAATGAGCGCTATTACGGTACACAAACTCTTATATAGCATGTAAAGTACAGAAAGTGTTGTACTCTTTGTAACTATAGGTATCATATCGTATCTTTTAACCTCTCCGATGCATCTTGACACGAGATGAAGAAGAGGAGAATACGGGTAAAAAATGATCGGATTATTCGAGCTCCACCTACAAAACATGTATTTTTATATAGAAAGTATATCTGCGATTTGATGTCTTTTTGATGAAGAGAAACTTGCTTCCTTGCCAGATTCGAAATGAGAGGAGTTCATTGAGCATGACGCTGAATCTCTCCTTATGACCTTGAGTCTGGGTCAACAACAGTACTGCGGGCATAAAACTATAGGACAAAATACGCCATTACATACATGTATAGGAATTACTTACTGCCATTTTGTCTACATCAAAACTACCAGCAGTAATATTTTTTTCAAAAAATTAAGTTTTTTTTCCATATAATGATATACAGTTTCAATTTAGTTGAAGAAAGTAGGCAAAACGTAAAAAAGTTTTAGAGCTATATAATCCTTTTCTTTTCTGCCTTTTACTTTATTAGTCTGGCTACAAAATACATATGTAATGTAAAATGGTTTTGTTTGAACTATACTAAAAATAATGCTTAGGCTTCGTTTTCTATATGAAGATTTTTTTTTTTAATCTTTACGAAATAGATTGCTGTTCGAGACTGTGATAACCTACAGAATTTTATTCATTTTATCCAATGGAATCAACCAAATTGATAAAAAATGTTCACTGATCTCTAATTTCCAAGAACTTCTAATACTACGTCCTTTGAAATCTGAACTTTATATACTTGAGGAGACATATTTTCCATTGAATTCTTCCAGAAATTAGTGGATGGTATGACAAATTGTATAAACAGTTTCAGATGTAAATCCCAAGTTTAGATTTACCGATCGAATGCTGCAATAAACAAGGTTATCGCTGTGTGACTCAATGAGAGCTCTAATGTTTAACATCTTTCAATTTCTAGGGTTATATGATTCCATCGAATCTTGTTTATGGAGACGTACAAGATATCTCATAAATCAAAATTTACAAGGGGTAAAAAGAGTACTAAAGTTTTGCTCGAAAACATATCTTACGAATATAACATATTTGGGAATAGAACCATTCAAAGGATTTTGCGAAGAGTAATTTTTCATGATTTATAGTAAATTGCAACTACCTCAGTAAATTGCTCTAATTACAATATTATTTTTGTTTTTATTAACTTGTGTAAAAAAAAATGTTATACATCACGTAAATGGTTAATAAAATAACCAAGTTAAAACTTTAAATAAAAGAGATGAATTTTTCATCAAAGTTTCAGTTTCAATCAGTATAGAGATGATCGAGTGATTACCTGTGGGTATACATGCTCTGGATGATACCTTTCGGGGGAATGCTTTGATGTAATTAGTGGAAATTCTCACAGCCATGTGGTAAAATCACAGAACCACGGACCTGTCAATCCATCATTATTATTTCCAGGCCGTGCAGCAGATGCACCCCTCCAAATGTATGAATGGAGAAAGAAATTCAAAGTGCAGGGTGCTGTATGCAGCAGGAAGACTTTCATACTTTGCATGCAATGAATATTTAAACTGAAAGTAACAATTCATAGGAGAACTGATGTTCTTTCAGTATTGGTTTTTAGAAGATATAAATTACCTTTAAGAATGGAGGCAGATAGAACCTCTCTAATGTCAGTATGGAAGTTATCTGGAATTTTTCGCGCCACTAAATGTCATTAGATTTTATTTTCTATTAATTAGATTTTTCCAATATTGCGCTTCGAAGAAACAAAAATTGATTATGATGCAATTGTATCAAGTGGAAGAAACTATATTTCATCAAATTTGTTGTCAAACTTAGATAGACGGACTTTTTGTCTATGCATGTCTTTGTTCTGTTTTTGAAAATAATATTCTAATTAGTGTTGGCAACGAGTACCCGGTTAACCGGTTAACCGTCGAACGATGCGAGTATCGGTTAGTAAAACTGCTATTCGGTTACTCGGATAAAATAAATTCTACATATAGTAAAGACATAGAAAATGAATGATTTATAATTTATAAATGCACTGGTATACTAACTTACACATTTCCCTAATTTTAGGTACCGTTAGACTTGATCGATTGCATGGTTGTAGTGGATCAAACTGTTTTGATTAGTTTTCACAGTTTATATAATTGATAGCTTTGATTGCTTGGGGTATACATCTTTTGAAGGCCTGAGTTATACATGTAATTACCTCTTTTGATAATTTAACGAGATGCCGCCGCAGACATAATAAGCTTAGAGTTGTAACAGAAGAAAAGCTGATTCAAAATCTGTTAAATCAACTAATCTTTTAAAAATATTCGGAAACCAGCGATTTACTGGACACTCCACATATTAACTCTTAATTATGGAGTATGTAAATAATTATTCTCCTTGATTGCGATATATTTCAGGGGCTGAAAAGGAAAGTGTAAAATGGTGACCGACGATGACATATATATTTGTCTTCTTCGTGTGTCGAATTCCTTATTTTCTTTATTTTAAAACAGTAAATCTTTGACGATATCGTATGTGTGTATTGTAAACATTATGTCCATATACAGTATATTTGCGGATTACTTCTACCTATAAGTATAGAATAAGATAAATAATAGATATTGATACTTTTACCAAAAATCATCCGAGTAACCGGGTACTCGATCGGAAGATGAAGCGAGTAACCGGTTACTAAAAATCGTCCGATTTGCCATCACTAATTCTAATCAATAGAAGTGTTTTCAAGCATGGACTTTAACTTCATATACATAGTCAGGCGTGTTTTTTTCTCTGGCGTATACATTGTTTGTGCTCGGTACTTCAAAGGTACTAATGAAGATATTTAAGATGCGTACTCATTTCAACATTTCTGTGGAGTTTTCAAGATGATTGCATAAGTAATTATTTGTAAATATGAGATGAATTTTGAAACTTTCTAAACATGAATGACCACAATTCATTTATCTTTCTTGCGGTTTCACTAAATATACTGACAAAAAAATAAATGTTTTAATGCTAAGAAATGCAATTTTTGATAGACGACTCTTTTCGCATTCAAAAATGATAAAATGAATCGTATAGAATTAGGCGATCCATCGGAAGGCACGCAATACAAATTTTAGTTACAAACTTGCATTTGATCAATTATTCAAGTTAATACTGCACCACAGACATATAAGCTTCGCCAGAGAATAATTCACTACAAATGCTTCTAACATTTCTACAGGCCTGACATTTTAATGTAAAGTCTTATAAAGATCTTTTTAATGATGGCATTTTTCATGTAAACATTGAGATATCCACAGAGTCTCCTTAATGCGGATTTGATAATTATTAATGTGCCTGTATACAAAAGTGTTAAAACTTTCTTTCTCTTGATAATTTGATTCTCTTTTCTCTACGGTCATGACAACAAAACCCAGACATTTCCATAAATCTTAAGTCTAACAGCCTATTTAACAGAAGTTTGAAGTGTTTTCAAACTGTTCAGTTGTGGAGAAAAAAGGCACGAATGATCTTTACTGGACTGGGGTTTATACCTTGTATCAAGGCACTTAGGTTTGAAACAAATAAAGAGGTCATTCTGACCAAGCATTTATATTTAATGTGCAAAAATACTGATGTTTGTGTTGAGGTCAAATATTTATTATTGCCCTCTTTAAATTCAATGACCGTGAGCTACCTCCCTTTACCAGATGCTGGAATCTTAAGTAGGTGATTGTTAAAGTTTTGTGTTTGTACTGACTGTGCTTTATTCCCACACAAATCCTTGTTGGTATTATTGGTATATCGGTTATACTGTGAAATGTTTATTATTTAAATTTTCATCTAATTCATGAACCATTTTACTAAGTGGTCTATAATTATGTAGAATAATTAAAGATAGAACACCTTAACAAACTTTTACTGATTTGTTTTCTCCTGAACGTGAATTACTTTTTCATTCACATGTTCATTACAACCCTGTACTACCTAAAACCGTTAAGAAGAAAATGTTTTAAGAGTAGCATTCATTACAAAACAAATATTTGGAATCAACACCATTAAATTTACCCGGGGTACAAAGTTACACATCTGTTATACCATTGTGACAAGTACAGAATTCATAACAAAACCCAATAAAAGACCTCTTTTGATTATAAAAAAAGATATCACAAAATCTCAACACCTTAACGCCGCATTCAAACGCAATATAACTTTACATTTGGACACAAGTTAAATTATTCTTGAGTCACACGGGTGGCGAAATGTTTGATGGAGAAGTGAGATAATGTGCTACACGGGTCTCCAGTGAATACATAATGTTATCTGTGTATTTTCAATTCGCAATGATCCAGAAATTATAATAAGGTATTGTCGGTATCATTGCACTCCGCCTCTGTGAACCTCTCGACAGAGAGGAGCATATCGTACGCTGATAACCAACACTCAGTTTCATTTCTGGTTGTCAGAGGAGGAGGTCTCGTACAGAAAATAGGAATCAGTGTCAATGGAATTCATCAAATATTAATATTCTGTGTATGCTTTCATTTGTGAACAAGGGAGTTCCATCTTTATTTACAGTGTTTGTTTTAAATGTGATGATTTCAGGAAGTTCACATAGTTTTTATTAAATGGATTCATATTTACTATGAACGATAGAATTTCTTTAAATCATCGTTGAAACTTCAAGATATATGTGAATAAATATTTTTTTTATTTATTCGTCATTAAATTCCAATGATTTCAGAACTTTGCAGGATCAAATAATTAAAAAAGTGCAACAGTTGTCATGCGGCGGTGAGTTGCTTTAAAGTATCGTACTTGGTTAAGTAACAAGGCCATTAAGTTGATGGGAATAAATTCCCTATAGATAATTCATTACAGCAAACAGAATTAACTGTATAATTAATTTTTCGCAGTGTTAACCGCATTCGCCTTTTCGGGTCTCCAAGACATGTATCGGGAACTGAATGAGAATGTTAGCATCAGTTTGGAGGCATAGATTATTATCCACCGCGGATTAAGACAAATTACCAAATCTTTGATGCTTACTTGAATGTTCGCTAAAAATATGCTATGGAGACAAATGGAATATGTTAATACCCTAGGTACTGTATCAAGCTCAAGTATTTTGCCAAGATGTGATTGACGCCGGCAATTAGTGAACTGACATTGAGCCGCAAAGAATGCAATCGACGCATAGAGAAAACTCAATGGACACCTACAAATTTTCCCGGACTTTTTTGGAGCTGTGGAGGTGCGTGCCTGGCCCTGGAGGGTGGGCAGTAAGGGCCTGGGTCTCTGTCCTGGCTATTTCTGTGCTGTTTTGCCAAGTGTCAGGTAGGTGTTGCTCTTTTTGGCACCGCTTTTATGTTGCTGCCATCTAGAATGAAGTTGTTTTCCACTGATGAGTAGTGTAGCAAGAGATAGTATCGGAAAAAGAGTTCTCCTACTAAGGGACGGATCTTGGTTCTCACAAAAATTTATTCTTCTGGGAAATATAAACATATATATGTATACATATAATTTGTTTTGGAAATATGATGAAAAACTTGTGACGATATTATTGAGAGAATTTTCAAATTTTCAATTGCAATTTAAAATTACTTTTAACATGTTCTTACCTTGTAAACAAACATCATGGCTGCTATATTCATACTTTTAATCACTGTAGTTTACTGTTGTATTATTGCGCGGTAAATTTGAACTTATAAAAAAGCAACACAATTTTATATCAAAAGTTATTTAATTATCTTAAAATTAAATTATAAGGAAGCCTCCCCAGTATCATCAGTGAGTTTACGCTTTTTTATAATCCGCTTAATGATTTAATTAAATAGATATTATTGAGAGAATTTGAAAATTTCAATTGCAATTTAATTACATATGGCTTTCTTCTCTCTATTCATACTTTTAAGCTGTGATTTACTGGACTGAGTACATCTCACTCCAGCCTCCCCAGTCATCAGTGAGCTACTATAGTTAATGATTTAATTAGGATCGGAGATAATTACATATAAGTCTGCTCGTTCTCCAAGTGGATAAGATATCTAGTTTTTATTTCACCAAAGTCAGGGGTATAATTCACTTAAGTATACAATAATACTGTAATGAAGACAATTAGAGTCGCTTACTTTAAATTTCTATCGCTGTGTAAAATAAAACAAGGCTGTAATAGTATTGGTAAAGTAATGATATGTCTACTGACTTTTGATTGAAATATCAAATATTCATACCCTAGCTGTAGATGTTTAAACAAATTGTTGTAAGATGCGGTCTTCTTTGTATTTATAACCACAATGTACATGTAATAACTAAAAACGGCTATTTCTCTCATTTGTAAATGAAATTTGAATCATAAACATTTAAATTAGGCCATCAAATGGCTAGTTCTCTCGATTTTTTCGTCTTAATTCTGATCGGGATCGATAGTAAATGAAATTTGATGAGAAATCTGCAAAATTGAAAAAATAAAAAATATAAAATAAAAGCCGCCCGCCCGCCTCGATTTTTAAAAAAATTCATAAACATTTATTTATTATGGCCTTACCGATGTCCGTGATCTCAAAAGTGTAGAAAAGAAAAAGAAATCTGTTTTTGTATGTCTTCAATTGATACTAGGATCCTAAGATACAAATGTTAATATTGATGTGGCCGCTATTTAAAGTTAATTACTTAATCTCATGTGTAATAAAAGGTCCATTTATATAAAAGGAAGCTTTGATCAAAGAGAAAGGGGAAGACTTTTTATGAGGGAAAATACAGACGAAAAAAATTAGACTGCGCCGTAGATAATACGATATGAAATGATCGACCATACTAAAACACGAACTGAGCACAATACCCTAGTGAATTTAAACGAGCTTTTACTATTTTCCGTCTCTATGTAAATTTACAATAAACAGTCGGTTCGCTAACCTTGGGTAAGTTAACGGTCTCTGTCTCTTTGGATCTGGAGTCAACTGATCCTGTTAAATAAGGGACAAATCTATATTTTTGTTGGAGTTTTCTATACAAATTGAAAGTTATAGTCTCCGTGGAACCTTCCTCCCCCACAGGCTGTGTATAAGCTAGAATAAAACTGCTGAGCTTCATCAAAATTGTCCGATATCTAAGGGTCCAATTTAAGTTTATGAATATTAATATTTGAACTCTCCAACAAACTGTATTAATGATATGTCCTCTTGGAAATAAAGCAGTCTTATTTCATACAAAAAAAAAGTAAGCAGTCTCTTTTTTTTGTAAATATTGCTTGGTTTTGAAAACTGTAAATTGTGCTACACATGAATAAAGTCAATGATCATAGTTTATTTGGCTACTGTTCACAAATTCCTGATGATAATTTTTATTAATTGGGAATTCTGAAATTCTTAGGTAAAGAAGGTATTACCAATCTCTTTAATTAAAATAAATATAAATTTACAAATTCTGAAGCATATATATGTAAAATAAAATCCTTTAATAAATTCTGGATCAGGTTTCATATCAATTAGGCAGCCAAAAAATTAACGATTAATCTCTTTGGAGTTTAAATAATGCGGAAATAACCCACGTTAGGTTGTTCAGTGCGGTTCGAAGATTTTTTCTTAATTGTAAAGTATTTATATTCCAGATAAGCAGAGAATTTTTGTATTTGAAAAAAATCTCGGACTTTTTTTTAAAGTTCTGATATCTACACTGTACAAGTAGGTCCCACCTCTGCATAAGCATTTGAAGCCCTTCAAATGAAAATTTACAAATCCTTCTATCTGCCCTATGTTTTACATTTAATGCATAAGGAAACCCGGTGCTTTAAGACAGACTCGAGTCAATATTGCCCTGAATGGTCATGAAGTACATTTCTCATTAATTGACGACCAACTTCTGATAAAATTGTCTGATAATCTAGTAGCTCGTATATAATAACACCTACGCACTGTACACTGTACCCTAAAAAGCTGCATAGAAATACGTAAATATAACACTTTTAATTTGGAGCATTGTATTCTTTATTATCAATCATAAGACATGAAATAATCATGGAAAAACAATTTCGCAGTACTCGCGAAAATGCTCCAAAATGTTATCGGTCGTTTGCAAGCTTGTTTCACTGTTTGCCGGATGTCCCATCTTTAAGGATTATCTCATTTTCATTATTTTTCATTACAAAAAATTTTAAGCGTTTCTTTTCATTTATTCAAAGTGTTTTGCATCCTTCTTTTTAATTTCGAACCATCTTCATTAATTCTTATTGATTGCCTGGTCTGATAATGAATTAATGATTCATTTTAGAGGATATTTCCAACTTCGTGCTATTTTCCTCTTTTTACTTCATTTTCGTACACTAATTTCTTCTCATGGATAATTTATGTCCTAGATGTGAAAAGAAAAATTATATTATTGTACTTTGATAGATGTTAATTTAGATACTGTAAATGCAGTGTTGATATTTATCTGACCAGTCAAATGGTTAAAAATCAACTCTGGTGATGAGTTTAATAAGAACTAATATCAGGACAAAATTTTCTTAATTTCAAAGCTGTTTCACGCCTGCAGCATTAGGGTTGGAGAAATTCTCGCATGGCTACCATAATATTTGATTGATCGTTTAGCAGAGCTGATGAAGGCCTGCGATCAAAGAGGCTATAGCTGTCCACGAGGGGAGATCTGTTCGTCTTTTAATAATGTGCGTGGCAAAAGATGACATCCAATACCTAAACTGCATGACTTATTGACCGTTCATCAGAGGAGATATTTTATAAGGCGGTTTTGTTGGATGTGGGAAAATAATAAAAGTAAAATGAAATTTCCTAATGAAATTGGTTTTAGTCATCTTGGCAAAGTACCTTAAGACACGCAACCCCCCAAAAGACCAAACATTGAAAAAAGGATATTGTCATCAAATTGATTTTTTGCGCCATTGTAAAAACTCTGCTGTGTTTGATTATTAGTCAATGTTCATGTTTATTATGATTTCAACCCAAATTAATCCGTTTAAAGAAATTTAATTTGTAATCAATAAAATTAAAACGTGGTTATTATTTTTACATTTCTTAAAAAAAGATTTCAATCAAACAATATTCAGATCTCTCTTTTTCTCTCATTTGAAATGATAATGCAAATTTAAAAAAAAAAGAACACATGCAAGAGGATGCTCTAGGTATGGACATTTTTTTACACGAGGTAAGTTATAAAAACGATTGACAAAAGTGAAACAATAATATCATCAGTCTTGCTTAAAATTATCACTTCATGAGTTCTATAGTCGATACAATGACCTTGTCAGCAAATACAATCCCGATCATTAATTCAAATGCTGATTTCATACTAATTTTTAGGCCATAATTTACACATTGAATTTTTGACGGATTTTTCGTTATTTCCCGATCATGACAATGAGCACACGGCGGGTGTGAACCGTTGTCACGGGATGCTCACTCTCCTCCCTAACACCTGATCCGATCTTTGATATATTAGAGGTCCGTGTTTTCTCTACTCTTGATTTGTATTGTTTGAATGGACTTTTAAGTTTAAATACTGTTCGTCATCTCTATACATATTACATACAAAAACAAGAGAATGGTTTTTCCTTCTGACAATGCTAAATGGATTTCTCCATGAATTAGAAAATAACTTGGATTGCACTATCAAACGGTGAAAACTTAAACTATACTTTCTCAAAAACAAATACTACAACAGCAACTAAGGAACACAGCTAGATGCTGCTGGACGTCGTGTGTCAATTTTGCAATACTTATAGATTCATCCAAAAAACGAAATCTTTTTAGTTTTTAATTGCCAAGCATGTTTTAATGGTTGAAATATTCCTGAACACACAATCAGAGGTTTGCTGAAATGCTTGGCTGCCATGACCGGAACTGTATATCTTGATTAAAAAATAAAAATCGGGAAGTATTACAACAGAAAAACGATAATTAAACGTTTGGATTTCATAAACGGACGATTTAAAAATGACGAATTCATGCATGAACAAGATACACTGGTGTATAGCGTGAACTTTTATTCTTAAACTCCCATTTTGATTAAAAGAGGCATAAAAGAAAATAAATAAAAAAACAAACTAGATATATTGAACCAGAATTTAAAGCAATTCAATTAATTCCTGTATGGAACATAGTCTTCCAGAATAAGACAAATCTTTAGTCCATCAAGGAATTCGTTGTGATCCACAAGGTATCGGTTTACATTTCTGTTTAATAAACATCTGAAAAATTCAGTTATGAAATGGCTTAGGAAACTCTGTTAATTAGCTATTGCCTCATATTTTCACAAAACTTCTTATCTTTTGTGAAAAACTCCCGAGGAAGCACTTGTTACTTAGTGTCAAATAAAGCTATTCCGTAGGAGGACAAAAGGTATTTGTCAGTGCACCGTATTTACTCTGTTTTTTTTTATGACTAGTGAACAGACCAAATTTTGTGGTCGATGGATTTCAAAAATTTTCAGGAATTATAGGTCATTATATGAATTTTATATAAAACGTTCTTTGGAATACTGGTTCCAGTGCCAAGTTATGGGCAATTTCCTGATTTTAAAATGCTCGAATGTTTCGAAAACGGCCAAGATATTATTGAGACTTGTTAGAGCTATGTGTGGTGCATTTCTACAGGAAGCGAATTAAAAATATGCATTTTTTCAACTTTTTTGTTTTTCAATATTTTTCTTTGATATAATTAATGGTAATTAAGACCCTACTGGAAAGGCTTAATATATAATTTATTTTAGTTTCCACACATGTACACATTGACATTTACCATAAAGATCAATAACATGTAAAACATTGGATTGTATCGAATTACAAAAAATGAGGTTTCCTCAAAACTGTCAAAATTGAATAATTTCCTTGACCATTGGAGATTTTTTTCAAAAACATATAATATGAAAAATTTTAGGATACAAAATTCTTGGAAAATTTTTACCAAATTCACTGCTTTAATGTTACTTTGATTATAGTAATGTTCGAAATTCCGGTGTTGAACATATATCGATCAAACATAAATTGCTTTTGCGAAAAAATATATCGTGACCCGACTTATTTAGTAGACAATTGACAACAGAAGTGCAGTAATAGATTATTTTTCTTCTTCCTGGGAAAATTTTGTCCACGAGTGATCTTGTTAACTACACATCCGACTAAGGTAAAATGTTTTTAGGGTTAGTAGGCATAATACATGTCATTTTGCGCGCACGTGCTTTCGTGCAACACGTGAAATGACCAATATATTGATTGTAACTTTTCTATTTTTTAAAATGTTTTGAAACTCGATAATATAAGGATATATTATAGTATAAAAAAGCTGTTAAACGTGTGCTTCCCTCTGATTTGCTGAAACTAAAGTCTCACTATCTTTTTTGTTTCTTGTCATAATCTTTTGAAATTTTGAACATAGTCCTATATTATGAAGATCTACAGCATGATATATAAAAATTTTCATGAAAGCATGCGCATCTGCGTGTGCTGTAATCTGATTGGCTGAAATTTTAAATGGCTATATCTCCTTTGTTTTTTGACGAAATGTTTTGAAATTTAAAACATAGTCATGCATAAGAATATACTAAAATATGATACAGAAAAAAATTAATGAAATCACGCGCATGCAGGTGTGCTGCAATCTGATTTAGATTTTCTATATCTCCTTTGTTTTTTCGAAATATGGAATTTTAAAATATAGTCAATCATTTTGACATCCTTTCAATACGATGAAGATAAAAAAATTATGAAATCACCAAAGTCTGATTGGCTGAAAATTCAAATGGCTATAACTCCCTTGTTTTTCAACCAAACAGGATGGGATTACATAGATAAATATAAATACAAGAAGGTGAAGTCATTATGCACGTGCTTGCACGTGCGTGCAAGTCCGTGCACGTGAAATAAGTAAAATTTAAAAATACACTTGAATGTGTGCATTTTTAATGCTTCTGGATTAAATGCTTTGATATTAAGTATATTAAAATTTTAGATAGTGTAGACAAGATAATATGGTCGTTACGCACATGAACACGCGTGCAATGCCTATGTTTAAATTTTTTTTTTCGGGAAGACCTTGATTAAGTCTAAATTCCATAAAGTATTTTTTATTTAAAAGACGAGGGATAAAACAACGGTCCCTGTTACAATTAGCACTAGTTTTTTTATGTCGAACAGTTGGTCGATGGATAAAAATCCGTATAAAAACCAATTGGTCTATGAATGAACCTCTTAGCCGTTATTGAGCGTGCTATGTGTGGGGCATTTCTACATTAGGAACTTTTTTGTGTACCCTAGTTCAATGTACACATGACATTTCAAGAAAGAAAACACTTTATCGAATTACAAAAAATGAACTGTCAAAATTGAATAATTGCGCATTTTTGAAAAACATATAATATGAAATTTTAATCTCATAAGCTTTAATTTGAAAGTAATGTTAATGTGATAATCGATAATAAATTGCTTTTAAAGTCACATCCTGATATTCAAAAGGCCCAGATTGGTAGCCCCCTGAGATAATACATGTCTGCGTACGGATTCTTAATTTGATTGTTTTCGTTAAAATTTTCGATTAGCTGTTTTAAACTTTGAAAATTTGAAAAATTTTCTTGGATAAATGATATCCCCCCTTGCTTTTAGATTTTCCATTCATGATCTATAATACCCAATTCGACACTTTTACCCAAATTCAGTAGATCTGCATTACTAATTCATGGCCAAATCCGAATTTCAGCTTTATGTTTGCATGAAACATATATAGATGACGAACAGTATTCAAGATAAAAATTCCATAAAACAATACAAATTAGGAGCATGGCAAACACGGACCTCCAAAACATAACCGGTCACATAATGGACTAACATTTCAGTGTAAATAATGGACTAACAATTACTATAAAAACGTCATTTAGCATTTGACTTATTTTTTTATGTGATGTCATTGTGAACATTTGTCCAATCAATTTGTACACACCTATTGGTAATGACACTTCAATGCCAAAATGGGTTAAAATTTGTATATGACAGGTTTTTGATAAGACAGGTCTGACTGTTATTTGGCATATATTGCCAATTAAAGAATGAAAGTTCTTCAATTTGAAGGGTAATTATCAAATCATAATCTATTTAGCTTAGTTAAGAATGCTTCTTCGCAAAACACTTCGTGACAACGAAGGCCTGAGTTTAATAGACGAATTTCATCACATTTTCATTCTAGCCATTTGGATTTCTACTTCGTGATATGATTGAAATTACATAAGATAATAAAATTTAAACTTTACCATTAATTCTTCATCCAAAATACTCTGGTAAAATTTTCTACGGACCAGTTTTTTAAATTTTGGAATAGATTTTACCCAATTCGTTTATGTCATTTGCTTAGGACTACTTTTTTGCACATAATATATATAACTGCAATTTATTTGTGGCTTAACGAAAACAAAACCTTTTTTTAATTAAAGTAATGCTTTAAATATATTATTGCCTTTATTTTTAACTAAATAGGCCAGTTTATTTTTGTGTATACACACGGGACACTAGCTGTTATCAAGAATTTGACAAGTATACCACCACCAACTTCATAATTTACGGCATCTCGATATTCTGTACAATATCTACATTAGGCCTAGGAAAATGATAAAACAAGGATGAAACATATGGAGATAACGAACAGTATTCAAGGTCAAAAGTCCATAAAACAATGCGAAATAGGAGCAAGCAAACATGCACCTCCAAATCATCGTAGCTGGGATCAGGTACCATGGAGGAGTGAGCATCCCAAGCTGACCGGTCACACCCGCCGTGTGATGATTGTCATGATCGGGAGATAACGGAAAAATCTGTCGTCAATTCAGTGAATAAATAATGGTCTAACAAATAGTATATGAAAAACGTCAGTCAGCATTTGACTCAATGATAAATTTTATTTGCTGACAAGGTCATTTTATCTTTATCTTTTTCTACACTTTATATACAATGAAATATGGAGATCAAAATGTTTTAGTTTAAATGTTCACTGAAATAACTGCAAACACGACATTTTATTATATATAATATTGCGGAAACACACAAAAGAATTCGGAGGTAATTCAGTGTGTAAAATAATGATCTTATAAGAGATATAAAAACCGACAGTAAGTTTTCAACTAAATTATAAATAATACTTTCTGACCTGGTCATTGTACTGCGCAATTGCGAAATGATGACTAACGAAACTGTTAATATCCTTGTTTCCTAAATTTGTTAAACATTAATTTACTTAGTCTTAGATATTGTTCATACCTGTAGAGCATGCTTTTGCGTATCGAATTAACTGGGAGATAAAATTTACGGCGACAACGATTAGTATTCAAACTAAAAAGTTCATTAAGCAATATAAAATAAGAGCGAACACGGAGATATATACCCCAAATGCAGGTGATAAGGGCATATTGCTTCATTAGTAAGTTGAGTTGACAAATTTGAATTCATCCCGTTGATTATAAAGTTTTGTTTTTAGATTTACTTAATAAATGTATTTTTCTTAATGTCTCTTTCTAGAAAATATCCAAAAATAAAATAGATTTGTCAGATCTGAGGTTTCTTTTGTTTCAAGTTCATCGGATATATCTAGTCTACATATGAAAGGAAGTGACCATTGTTTATCAATTGACTCTATACGTCTTTGTTAAACTTAAAATTGATATAAACTGAAAGGTCAGATCAACTGACTTTGATACTTTTGGGAATACAAAGATAGGTCTGGTAGTAACGGGGAGCAATTGCACCAAACGGAATTCCAGCAGATTAATGGAGGGTCTTATCTCCAAAAACTGCATACATATTGTCAATCAGAAACCCAGCATTTTTTCATATCAACATAGAGTAATTGTGTTTATAATCAGAATATTTTAAACAAAATATTTTTGCAATGTAAAAGATGAGGAAAGCGAACAGTGTTCGATCTCAAAATATTTACAAACAGTCCACTTTTATAAAATGTTGAAAAAATGTTTTGATGATATTGACCACAACTTTTTAATTGATTTTTAAAAACAATCTGAGTTTGAATTATCGTGGAAAATAGTTTAAAATCTCCTGACAAAAACAACAGCTAGTATTATGATATTGTGTAATCTAAACATGTTTTTATATTAGCAATGAAAATTGATTTTAAAAAGAATTCAAATACAAGTAACAATAGTCAAAAATAAAGTTCTTTCTAAACATCTATGATGAGTATATTGGATGACTGCGATTTGTCTGATTTGTTTGAATGAAAATTTAGGAGGTTTGTGACAGATTTTTTTTAATATAATGTCTTGCAGGTTTCCGTCGCCGGATATCAGACCGAAGTCACGTGCCTCTAACCCCAGTCATTCTGAATACTACCACCTCCAACTACACCTACATCGCTGGGGAGACGGCGATTCTCTACTGTGCCGTGGAAAACTTAGGGACCAAAACTGTAAGTGACAACTACGATACAGCAATAAGATATAACGTCTGAATGAAATATGGAGATAACGTACAATATTGATGCTAAAACCTCATTAATACATTACAAATTGGAAGGAGAGCAAACACATATACCTCGAAAAAACATCAGAGTTGGGATCAGGTGTCATGGAGGGGTGAACATACCCCGTCGATTGAACACAATCATCGTGTGCTCTTTGTCATCATTGGGAGAAATGAAAAAATCAGTCGACAATGTAGAGTGTAAATAAAAGTCTAACAATTAGTATGAAAATTGTCAATAAGTATCTAAAACTCTAAATCTTTAAAGAAATTTAATAGATAATAATGAGCAGTATACGAGCTCAAAGGTCCATAATTAATTACAAAATAGGAGCGGAGCAAACACGGACCTCCAAAACAACAGATGTTGGATATGGTGCCATGGAGAAAGTGAAAGAAAATTCATTCAAAATACAAATTGTACTATAATTGTAAAGTTATAGTACGCGTAAACAAGCTGCAAAATATTCAAGAGGTCCGTGTTTGCTCTGCTCCTATTTTGTTTTTTTAATGGACTTTTGAGCTTGAATACAGTTCGTTATCTCCATATATTTCATATGCAAGACGTTAATTGCAAATGTGTTTGTGCAACATGAATGTGCAGCTGCCATCAAAAGGAAAGCAGAAATTTTCGATCAATTCTATTGAAAATAAGCTATAATAATCGAAACTTGTCAATTGTTTAATTTTCATAGTCATGAAATAAACATCAATTTATAGCTCAGTATTTATATATACAAATACAATAAAGAAATAAAATGAAATGTCATATCGTAATGAATTTTAAGTGTGCAATGAAGTTAGGTGGTCTTTACTTTGATATTTTATGCACCTTCAGACAACCCGATTGTTAAAGAGCAAATAACATTTTCCAGCATAATGTCTTTAAAAGTGGCAATAAATGACAAAATGACCATTATAATATTTATTGGTCAAAAATATGAAGGAGAGGTAATGCAGTTGAATATTGAAACAAACTCTGTTTATTCCCTTTCATATTGGTAATAGTTTTTTGAGTTCGATCACTGTTCATTAATTTTCATCCATTCATATAAATTCAGCTCTGACAACATTTTCTAAAAAAAAGAATAGAGTATGCCAATAAAAGATAAAATAGTTTAATAAAGAGACTGAAGTAGGCTATCTTGAAATAAATTCAAACTCTATCGGTAACTTAATATCAAAGGGCTACCTACAGCAGCATTGAGCTCGGTATATGCAGATGTGCCTAAAAACTAATCTTTACAACTGCTGCATTCTACCAGTACAAACATTTGGGAAAAATACACTTCATTACTTGTAAAATACAATCACAATCGTGTTCATTAATGTATATGAAGAAGAAGAAGATACCCGAGTTTCGTGGCTTCTAAAAAGCTATAATTAAAATATTACACAAGCATGAAATAGAATCGATGTTTGTTCTGTAACACTTTGTCAGAATGGATTAATTGTATTAAATCTATGTTACAATCGCGTATTAAAAGATTGAGGGGCAATATGAAAACCATCTATCCTTCTCATTCAATAATCCAGAACTGAAAAAAGAATTAGATAGATTACAAAATCAGTACGTACTAGTTCCTGCTTACAGGGCAGGTAACAATATTGTCTTCGTTTGTAAGGCTCATTATATAAATTGTATTTTAGGAGAAGTTGGATTTAATTCGATTAAGTGGTAATCCAACTTATACTCATAGTTCCCTTTCTAAGGAAGAAATTCTCCAAGACCATTTTTCAGTTTAAAATATTTCTAATATCCTTAACAACCAAAATGAATTTGAATTACCATATCTGTACTAAATTCCAAAAATTACAAACAAAGACGCATAGCAGGTTTCAAAAAAAGTTCTAACAAGCCTCTATCTTTACTCCTCACTAGGATATTAACAGTAGTAAAGGAGAAACTTCAAGAGTACTGTGCAACATTTTATTCGAGAAGTGGTGTAAAACCGGACGTAGATGCTTAAAAATTCCAAGGATTATTTGGAAAATTTGAAATCACAAAATTTTACCAAAATCAATATTTTAAAAACTTACGACTTTTCAACTTTATACTTAACCATTCCCCACGATAAATAAAATATCACATCTGGTTTACACCCCTTCTATATATACAATATATTGTTGCACAGTCCTCCTGAATATAATTACTCTGATATGATAATGAAAATATTAATTGTAATGTACGTATGTTATAAGCTATGTCAAATATGGCGTATATTGCATTTAAATAACACAGTATAATTTCTCAGACAGAACTATGACTTGGCGAATTTAAATCGGAGCAAGTGTGAAACTCGTTTGCAAGTGGGAATTAGCGAACCCTGTTCTTTAGTAATTTAAAGAAGCCCTAACTTAAGAAATGCTTCTAAAGATGAGGTATGGCTCAGAATTATTCATGCGTGAGAACTGTTGATTAACAGGGAGATAAAGGTAGTGATAGAATAATTCATTCTAGTAAACTCTAGATTATTTTATATGATTTCTTTGGGGTTTTGTATTCAGAATTGATAAGCACCGCTATTTTTGTTGACTCAAATACAGTCTTTCATTGGGTAATATTTCGACTGGCATATTGACATATCAGTAATCAGGTCATTGTTTTTACACCCATTTTGTCTATGTACAACTATTTATATCTGATCCAATAAAGAGTGCTTACGACGGGTGTTGATCAATAGAGATGCTCACTTTTCCTAGGCACCTGATCCAACGATTCTTTGTTTTCACGATTTGTACTCTTTAGGCATTATTAGAATTGACCTCTTTATATTTTCTTTATTTTCTTTTATTTCAGTTAATTTTCCAATGAGCGTGTTCAATTTCACTTTGTTAGATGTGGTGTCACCTCAAACTGATTTTGTAATGTAATTCTTGTACATGACTTTGACTCTGACAGGTGACGTGGAGGAGAGCGTTACCCTCTGTCATACTGACTGTGGGACTGTTCACTTACTTCGGAGATTCCCGATTCCAGACCCATAATGTGATACACAAAGACCAGTGGAATTTACACATACGGAATGTTAGTCTGGAAGATGAAGGCAGGTACGAATGTCAGGTCAGCACAAAGGCACGTGACATTAGGAGGAGTTTTTATCTCACGGTCAAAGGTAAGTATCATATTATAAATATAACATAGTAGATTTATGGACACACATTTGTACTTTTAAAAAAAATATAATGACATTTCTTACTTTCTAATTTCAGAACAGACATCCAGTGAGTATGATGTATTTATACTTTTGATGTTTTTGCTTTTTTTAATTTTACTTTTTTGAATATTCCATTGAATTTAAACTTTTATTTTTTTTAAATAATGCTTTGAAAGATTTTAAATTAGCGAAGTTATTTTCAGAAACTACTTTTATGTCTTAAATATATAAATGAATTCGTATGATAATTCACCAAGAAAATATAACTCGCACATTTTCAGGATAACAAAGGCATTTGATCATTCAAGCTATGAACTAATCTCCCAAACGTACAAGATTCTTGTTCTGGGGATTACATCTCTATCTGTTGTAACTTTGTTGCTCATCAACTTTGTAAATACCATGTTAATTTAAATCAAGCTTCAAAGAACAGAGTAATAAAACTTTTGATTAAGCATGCATATCAAAATTCTTTGAATAATCATTCAAAGGTACCGTAGCTTCTAGATAGATTTGAAAAGACGATCTTCGAAGATTTGACTTAGTCACCTTATAAATTTTAATTATCAGCAATTAAATTTGCTTCAATTCATTTCCCGGGAAATGCATTTTAAAGTACTAGAGTTTAAAAATTGATATCAATACCAACATTAATTTTACACCAAATATACTTGTACACCAAATATTAATATCAATAGCAACATTAAGTTTACACCGAATATACTTGTACACCACAGAAAAGCAATAAATGCATTTACTGATAAAACAATATACTGCATAATAGTTTTCCCGTAAGGATAAAATACATGTAATATGATGTAAATGCATATTAATAATCAAATGAAGATTAGCATATTCAATCCATCATTAGGTTGAGTGCATTCTTAGGTTTTTCGTTCAAATTGTTAAACCATTATTTACACTCTGACTTACCTACGGATTTTTCCGTTTGCCTGATAATGACAAAGAGCACATGGCGTTTGTGACGCTCTATTATTGTAGTAATAATATCGCCCCGATATTTACAGTCCTATAAAGCAGAATTTATTCAAAAACTGAATCTACGGAAAAAGAAGAAAACACTCGCTGTAGCCTTTAACCTGTCATTTTGTTATATTGATGATGTATCATCAATTGACATTTATTGTTCATTTGACAACTTGATATATCCCAGTGACCTTGAAATTAAATATAACGCAAAATCTAACATATGTTCCATATTTTAATATCTTATTTAAAAAGACAATGGTTACAGCTTATAACAAATGATTATGATAAACGTGATGACTTTAACTGTTCTATTGTCAACTTTCTCATATACTTATGCTGTAATATATCCTAATAACTTTTCAATCGTCAACTTCTCTTATTAATGTAGCAGTATATCTTATCACCTGCATATGGAGGTCAATGGGTGATTCGACACGCAAGAACATGCTACTGACACACTATTTGACGAAACAAAACTCAACATTCTCGTTTCAAGTAACCATTTCGCAAGTTTTATGGTCGATACAATTACCTTGTCAGCAAATACAACCAATCATTACGTCATTTGCTGAGTGACATTTTCATACTAATTGGTAGGTCATTATTTACACACTAAATTGTTGAAGGATTTTCCCTTTTTTCTGTGCATGACAAGGAGCACACGGTGGTTGTGACGCGGTCGGCAGGAGAAGCTTACACCTCCATGGCACCTGATCCTACCTCTTATTTTTTTTGAGGTCCGTTTTTGCTCTGCTCCCGATTTGCATTGTTTAAAAAGAATTTGACCTTGAATACTTTGTTATCTATTTATTTCATTTCATTGGTCTTTTGAGATTAATTACTGTTTGCTATATTTTGTATTTTGAAATAAGAAATTCTCTTTTATTTATGTCTTAGTAAAACTTTAATTTCTTAAGCTTTGAATGTCTTATCAATTATTAAGTTGACCTGTATCTTTGCAGCTATTCACATTTCGGGTAAAACTTACGTAGAGAAAAACCAGAGATTGGTCCTTTTGTGTAACGCCTCTAGCGATTCTTACCCCCCGGATGATCTGGACTGGTTTATGAACGGCCACAAGATTGTGTCCAATGAACGGGAAGGCATAACGATAACAAAAAGTGTCACATACAGAAATAAAACCATTCGGAGTGAACTTGCAATTGCGCATGCGCATATGCATCATGCTGGAACTTACATTTGTCGAACATCCGATAAATTGGTTACAAATATTAAAGTGAACGTACTTAATGGTGAGTAGACTATATATTTTGTTGATTTACCTTAAATAATTATTTTAAAAAATGACCTTTACAGTAATTTGTAGAGATGAGGTAAGCAAATATAACGTTTCGACATGTGTGAGGGTCAAGTCCTTATTAGGAATTGATATTAACATATTGCTTATAATACTCTGGAAAAGCTTTACCTGATGTAACACTTCTTTAAACTCGGATTTAAGTCGATAGTTATTTTGCACTGATTAAGAGTAATATTTTAGCATACAAATGTATACAGTATAAAATGCACATGAACATTTATTTTTTCTGTCTTCAACTTCACTTCTTATGCAGCAATATACCTTCATCACCTCCATACGAAGTATATATATATATTAGTTGATTCGATACGCAAGAGCATGCTCTACTTATGAACAATTACTAAAACAATGTGAATTATTGACAAACAAGTTAATGAAACTTATGGAGATAACAGACAGTATTCAAGATCAAAAGTCCATAAAATAATACAAAATGGGAGCAGAGCAGAGACCTCCAAAACATCAGAGGTGTGGTTAGGTGCCATGGAGGAGTGTGCTCCTTGTCATGATCGGGAAATAACGGAAAAATTCATCGTCAATTAAGTGTATAGATAATGGACTAACAAATAGTATGAAAAACGTCAGTCAGCATTTGACTCAGTGATGAATTGTATTTGCTGACGTCATTGTATCGACCATAGAACTTACGAAATGATGACTTTAAACGAGCCTGCCGAAATTCGTGTTTCATCAACTTGTTTATCAATAATTTACCTCGTTGCAGAAATTGTTCATACGTAAATCATGATCTAGCGTATCTAATCAACTGAGATATGCAAACTCCATACGCAGGTGATGAAGGTATATTGCTGCATAAGTAAGGGAAGTTGACGATTGAAAAGTTAAGTCATGATGTTTATCATAGAGCTTGGTTGTTAGATTACCTTTAATGTCTTTTTTCAAGTAGAATAAGATGTGTCAGACTGTGTGGTACCTTTTATCTCAAGCTCACCAGTATATATCCTATCGACATAAATAAGGAAATTGCCATTGTTAGTTGACAGTACGTCGTCGATATATTTAAATGTCGAGTTGAAGGCCACAGCAAGTGCTTTCTTCTTTTCACGCATAAGATTTTGCACAAATTCTGCTTCATATGAATACAAAAATAAGTCTTCTAATAACGGAGCCCAATTGGGACCCACGGGAATTCCAATAGATTATTGGAAGACCTGGTCTTCAAAAACCACATAGATATTGTCAATAAGAAACTCAAGCATCTTTTTGATGTCGACTTCAGAGTACTTGTGCGTACAATCAGAATGCTTTTTAAAATAATTTTGCAAATGACCAATGACAAGGCAAGTAAATTTTCGAGTTCCATTTTTATTAAAAAGGCAGTTGTCAATGATATCGAAAAGCCTGGACTCTAATTTATCGTGGGGAATAGTTGTGTATAAAGTTGAAAAGTCGTAAGTTTTGAAGCTGTTGGTTTTGGTAAAATCTTGTGATTTCAAATTGTCCAGAAGTTCCTTGGAATTTTTAGGTTTTTACATCTGATTTACACCACTTCTTGAATATATTGTTACACAGTACTCTTAAAGTTTCTCCTTCACTACTGTTAATATCCTAGTGAGGAGTAACGAAAAGAGGCTTAGTTAACAAGAATCAAGAAACATGAATATCAGCAGACTGTTTAAAGTCATCATTTCGTAAGTTCTATGTTCGATACAATGACCTTGTCATTAAAAATACAATGTATCACTGAGTCAAATGCTGACTGACGCTTTTCATACTAATTGTATAATCCATTATTTATACATTGAACTGACGATAATTTTTTTTGTTATTTCCCGATCATGACAATAATCACAAGGCGGGTGTGACCGATCGGCAGGGGATGCTCATTCTTCCATGGCACCTGAACCGACCTCTGATTTTTCGGAGGTCCGTGTTTGCTTTGCTCCTATTTTGTATTGTTTTATGGACTTTTGATCTTGAATACTGTTCGTTATCTCCATATGTTTTGTTTTAATTAAAACGTTTCATCACTCGTACTCTTTCATATTTCGAATCACTAATGGAGTAAAAGACTAATCAATGATTCATTTATTTACTTGTAAATAAAAAGACAACATGGACTTGTAATTTATACGATACCTTTCTCTAAGATTTTAATTTTGTTATATTATGCTGTTATGCTATGCTGTTAAACTGTGCAGTTATGAAGAATTTAGATTTTTAAACTAAGTGATACCCCCTTAAAGTTCTATACCATGTGTCAACTCCAAATCAACAAAGTGTTGGCAAAATCATTACTGTAAACATTTAATAGACATTAGAATAGTAATCTACCTGTAATTATGTGGTATACTTGTAGGTTTGCTTTCGGTATGGCCTAGTTATTTGAACTATTCTGCGACAATGAATTATTATTTGATAAAAAAAAAACGTTTATTTATATTTGTGGTGTAGCTTTAATAACTTTTTTACTATCCATTTAATAGTTTCATAAATGTTTATCTATTTTAATCATTTGGTATATCTGCAATAATAATATTTTGGTTTATTGTTATCTTACATACTCTATACATGTATTAAGATGATTTTTATAGCTCCTGTATTCTTTTTTCAGCAGGAAAAGACAATGTAAAAAGAGGTACGTAACACACAAAAACAGAAATTACCCTTTATTCAGGTTTAATAAATACACCAAGGCAAACATTAAAGGCACGGCTTAAAGAGTTTTAAGAGAATGTCATATTCTTCAGTTAATGAATATTGTTGAAATGTTCCAGCTTTAATAGAAGCATCGTGTTCAAAAACCTATACATGTTCCACGGCTATTAGGCTCGAATAAAAATAAACTGGCACATTTGTGTACTTAATTAACTTCCTTCAACAGCACTGATGACTTGTGAGTCCCATTCAGAGGGGAAATTAGGCTTTCCAGAAGCTTGCATTTGGTACATAATGCTTGTTCTATGTGTCACAGAATGTTAAGTATCGACAAGTTCATTAACTAAATGGGTAGTAATCTTGTGATGTGTAATTGACATCAACTGCCATCCGATTCGAAATAGCGTTCCTAGGATAACCACAATGTAAATTAAGTTCTTTTAAAAACCAAGGGTAAAATTGACATTCCTATACAATGTACATGTATAAAATTCCGTTTCTTATCAGGTATTGTTCATGATTATAACACTCTAAAAATCTATGATGCCGATTGATAGGTATTCGACTGTTGGATTGTTGACTGTACAAGTGCAGATAGAATAACAAGATTTTGCATGTTATGGTAATATTTGTCCTGATTATTATCTTTATTGTCACAGTATATTTTGGGGTTATTTCAGCAAAGTACAACACACTTTCTAGTGTTGATGTTATGTATCTTGCTTAGTTGTTTCCCTCTTGAAGTCTTGCTCTAGTCTTAATTAGATAGTTCTGTCATAACAGATTTCGCCTACATTGTGTTTTGGCTTTCCTCACGTAATTGGCCATGAGATTTTTTGTTACGATATGGCATCTTTAACCGTGAAATCATTTTTATGTGTAGTTTCTATATTTTATTTTTCCAGAAATACAAAGTATGCAAAGAAGAAATGTGCTTTACAGAATTATTTATAACTGTTCATATTGTTGATTCAAAAATAATATAGGAATTAAATTTTTTTCTATTTATATTCAGAAAAAAAATTAATTTTAATTAAAGCGTCTTTCATGTTGTGATTTTAGGCACCATCATATCTGATAAGAGTCAATTTGTTAAAGACGAGGAGGGACACACAGATGGAAATATCTCCAGTCGCTTACTCGGATCTTGGACTTTATTATTTGGAATGATTCTCTGTGTTGGGTCATGAAATCCTTACCAAATGAACACTTAAATCGAAACTTTTATATAAAGACAGAGAAGACAGTACCTTTGAGTTTCGAGGATGTCGGACGGGGAAAAGCTGTAGCTGGAGGAGACTGCAACAATCAAAGTCAAGCCTATTCCCCGTCAGTGTCGGTCTCTGAAATGACCGAGTTTTACACTCGCTTCTGAACTTCCTGGTACATCCTCTGATCAAGACAAGTCGCACCGTGCAATAACCTCGTTGTACATGACTTCTGATAAACCGTCAGATTTTTATTCCTGTGAGGATAAATATACTTGTTTTTATAAAACGTGTTCTGTTGCATATTTTGTAACATGGCTACTTCTTTAGTTATTCATATTCATATTTGTTAATCAAATGAATCATTTTTCAGTTGTTGATAATTAATAGATACAATAGAAAAAAATTAAGAATCCTTTTTTCATCCAACATGTTTCATTTGATACCTACCACAAATGCAGACTGTTTTAGTTTGATCAGTGTTACTTGCCTTTTGTATGGACGATAAGCAGACTCAATCAATTTTATACTCACCAATACATCACACATACAATGTGTAACTCATGCCGGTGAAGCAAGCACTGATGTTTCACCTACTAAAAATCAAAATATTTTTAAAAAAATGAGAAGAAGTTAAAGATTAAAAGTCCACAGCTTCATAGATATATGTTAATAATAGAATAATAGTGCAATACATCACCCAGGTTCTACTTGCTGTTTTGAAGTATGTGTGGAATATGCTAATTTTTGGAGGTATATTGTCTCTGTGAAAGAGACACACTTATACTGACGTTATAACTTTGATTAGCTTTGCTTTGCTATAAGCCTTTTTAGATGTGATTGCTTAAGGTCTGTTCAGTCTGCAGTTCAAGAAGAATTTAATTGATAAACAAGATTTTGTCGTTACGGGTATAACATAACCTATTTATGAACGGCGATTCCGTTTATGAATGACACACCTGTTCATCCATTATATCGTTTTGGAACTGTTGTTTATTTTATTTTATTTTTTGTATTGTTGGTTATTTCAAATTCAATGCTTGAATAAAATAATTTTGTACAGCTTCTGTTGTCATTTAATTCCAATGATGAATCATTTAAAATAACCGCCAGAGAATTATTGATTGGGTAAGTATAAAACAGACAAAGAAAAGACTAGGAATATTCCTTTTTTCTGTGAAGAGTCTTGAAAAAATATGAAAGCTTAATAGAAAATATACTTCCGTGGCACAGCTTAATGGTTTATAAGATTTTAATCTTTTACCAGATCACTATAGTCATAAAATTTTTATGAGAGGCATCAAACCGGTGCTTTTTTCTCCTTCAGAAAAATATAAATTTCTCGGACTCTGGCAATGTTCACCATCTGATATATCGCCGCCAAAATACAAAAGCGGTTCATTTCCCCCTAAAATTCAATAATACATTTCATGTAAGAATAGAAAGAAAAACATTTCGAAATATATTTAAAATGATAAAGTCGGATGAAATTTTTTAAAGTTTACATTAAAAATAAACAAATTTTTAAGTCAATTCTATATCAAATTAAAATCATTATATCATGTTCTTTTCTCTTTATTTATATTCGTGTTCTAAATTTGAAAAATACAAGTAAATGGTAGGTTATAGTAAAATAACCTCTATTGACATCTATTGTTACATTAAAATACACATTTGGAAACAGAGGAAAGAATGATTTTTAATAATGTGAGGGTTTGTGGAAGACATTGCAAAACTAAGATTTTGTGAAGTTTTCTTCTATGATAAAAGTGTAGTACGTATATTTATGTTTCTAAACAGGCACGATGACCCTGATTTATGACATGTGTTTCGAGAAAAATTTGTTTATGAGTTTAGAAACAGAGGAACTTTTTCAGATTAAAGTGACGAGATAGGCATTGAAGCTCTTGGTCAAACCAATCACAGGTACATGTGGATGGTTTATTGAAATAAGAAGATCAAAGTAAGAAAAACTTACACAAACTACTAGTATACGGGTTATCGGACAAGAAAATAATTTTGTTTCTAGTATTTTGATGTGCTTTAATTATTATTTTTGTCATCTGGTTACTTGTTGCAGTATTTTTTTTCTTTCAAGATTGGAAGACAAATAAACAGGTCATGTTTTCCTAGGTATATATCTATTTATATCATAGAAATATGTACACATATAAATGATGGTCTGTCCATTATATAAGCCACAGAAAGCGTCTGCTTTCCCAAAATCATAACCCAGTTATTCCATTTTGGAATTACGAGAAAATGAAAAAAACATCTGTTCACCAGTCACAGCCGCTGCATGGTTTTTGTCATGATCATGGAGAAAAAAAGTCCACAGATAATTGAGTTTGTGAATAATGATATAAACTTTTATTATGAAAATCCTCAGTCAGCATTCAACGCTATTATAATTTGCAATATCTTATGACTTGCTTATGGGGCTTATATCTGCCAGTTGATTCGATAGGCAAAAACATGCTCTGAATAGGATCGTGTTTTTAAAACACAGCAAATTATAAACCAACATGTTGCTACATATGACACACTTCAGGAAAGAGACATCTAGTGGGAAAGTTTGAGCTGCAGTCGTCCTGTAATTAGTAACTTATATCATACGTTTAATGTCTATGACAGAAAACGAGAAAAATTTGTTTATGAGTTTCCACTTTTTGTATCTAGGCATTGAAGATACCCTTATGGTATAAAAAAATAACTTTTGAATTGCCGGAAGTAAAAGTTTTACAATTAGGGTATAATAAAATATTTGTGCCAAATTTAACACTCTTGATTTACAATTTACAGCATCTTTTAAAGGCTTGTAACAATATCTGTAAGGGAGCACCTTCTTAATGTATTTAGTACCCAATGTCTGTATTGCAAAGTAACATACTTTTTACCGGTGACATTCAGTTTGCAGTTCAAAACAATTTCTTTATCAGAAATTATACAACAATACTAATTCCTTTTTCATTAGTCAAAAAGACTTCAACGGCAATCAAAGTCACTGTAATATTTGACGTGAGGCCAACTAGATTTTCAATCTAAAAGACATTGATGGCTGAAATTTTGTCTGATTATGTGCCACGTTGTGATACAAGCAATTCAAGAGAAAAAAACTTGGAGCTCTTCAAAGGAATAAGAAGATGGAAACCGAAGAAAATCGGTATACAATCTAATGCTCAGATTCAACCTTGAAAAGCTTCTCTTTCTCTCCATTCAAATTGTCTGGAATAAGTCTTGCGAGCGATGCAATTATAGAAATGTAACTTTCCGAACAGAGAATGACATTGATGTAAAAGAAAACTGCGTGGTGGTACTACCAATATAAGAAGCAATAGAATTGCTGCCATCTTTGGAAATTTTCTATTATTTACTGCTGAACACGACATGTTTTCTGACACAATAATCCGAAAATGCTTAATATTCTATTTATTGCAACTTCTCACAAATCAGCTGAATTCAAGAAGTCACAAATGAAATGATTTTTTTCAGGTCTGTATGAAACAGATTAGGAATCTTCATCGGAAAGGGAGTGCACAGATGTTATTCATTCAAAGCCGAAGAGCATGCTCTGAATACAAATTGTGAAACCGAGGCAGGCTGCTGGCAAATATGTTGATGTTGCAAGAATTTCTAAAACTTTGTTGAAAGTCAGTATTATTGAGCTTGTTAGCAGTTATAGCAAAAGTATAAAAATGTGTACATTTAATGATGAAAATATCGTAATATGCTTGATTAGAATAATCAAACCATCGACTACGGCATTCTTTATAAAGCCAGAACTGTTCTGCTATACTGATCTAGTTCAAATTTTTGAAACATCAGCATATTTTAAAAACAGTGAAAGTCATTGAATCTCCAAGAGAACTCGAATGGTTGAAAGTTATACATGTTGATGAAGAAATTGTTACTCAATAGATAATTGATTTTAATACTCTGGGTGGAAAACGTCATCTAATTCATGAAAACTAGAATATGATATTTTGGTACTGTCATCAAGGTAGATTTTGTGTGTTTTCTGAATATTTGATATCAACAATGATAATACCAAAGAAACCACGTAAATGTCAGGTCTGATTGAAGAACCTGATCCAATCTATTTGTCGAGGTGCAAAAATAATTTAAAACAGATTGCACAGATATTTTTATACTATTTGTGTTCGAACATTTAATTTGGTAAAAGTTTACTACACAATGATCAATAATTTAAAAAAAAATTAATGGAATGATGCCGTCCTAATATATTCTTCGATAATGTTTCACAAAAATAATCAAATAAATATTATATTTGTATTTCTCATCGACATATCATTGTTTTTCACGGCAGTACGTTAATAATATACAATATTCATGCTTGAATTGTAACCCTTTTTACACGGGAATTTGAAAAACTAATATCGACGGAAAACAATTATGAAGCAATCATTTCTAAGTAGAATTAGTGGTCACTGCTAATCCCTTCTCCGACAGAGTCATTTATCAATGTCATCTACTCAGGTGAGTCATAAGACTCATCAAGTATTACTCACCTGAGTCTATAGGAGACATCAACTGCGTGCCCGTCCATTACGAACATTGACAAATAAATATGAGAATAGCATGGCACACTCTACTGAAAACCAAATATGTAAATCAGAGCCATAATCTACTGTTTATGTGAAATATAATGTTAGCATTTCAATAGCTATTGTAACGTGCAACGCGGCCGAGCTTGGTGTGTGGTGATATGGCTTGTATCACCAGGCGTTACACTCAGGTTCGTTAACCTGTTAACTCAGGATTTTGTTGACCGAATAAAATTACAATATATACAAATACAATGGGTTTCTTCTTGATTGGACAACCACTAGCTGTGGTCAACGGGTGTCTCCCGTACACAAATTTCTTCTTGTCCTGCCACTCCACAAGTACTGTATCCTGGCACTTCCCCCACCTTTATTGGTATGCCATCTCTCTAAATATATGACCAAGTGGCTGCCTTGTTCAGGTCTTACGCTTTGGTTCACTGTTAAATACTTAGCCGTCTATTCCCCGCAACCGTCTGCCTAATTCAGATCTTATAACGGCATATAGGAGACGAAACGAACTAACGTTTATCAACTCCGTCACCAGAGAGGTCTCAAAATAACTATAATACACCTTGTATTATCTCAGTGCAGTCCCAGTACAATGGCAGATTCATACTACTTGTATGATCGTTAAATTAATATTTTTAGTGTTTAAGACTTTAAACAAAAACGTAAGTCTAACGTTTATACAAAACTAAACAACCATATCCGTTTCACTATGTATTATTTATGCGATTTCGTGTGAAGAATGATGTGAACACGTAAACTTGTTCAGCGCAGTTCGTTGATTTCCTTTCGTGTCGAAGAGGATTCATTTGGATGTTTTTGCAACAACAACAAAAAACCCAACTATGTACACTTTTACTGCTACATGTATGATATGAAAGGAAAATCATAAACTTAAGCCGAATAAAGCAAAAATGCATAGCAACGACATTCGACAGAGGGGATGCGGAAAACCATCCAGGTCATAGATCGACTTATTTTGCATTGCAATAAAATAAATTAAAAGACATACAAGGCCCTTGTATCTAGAATTCAAAAATAATTTCACTAAAACAACAAACTTTCACATAAAAGGTAAACAAGAAATTGACGAAATTTTTATTTCCAAATGATCTGGGTCTACAAGTTTAGAATGGACATATTCTAATTAATCCCATGTTTACCCCTTTATCCCGTGCATTTGACCTATTGGATATTTTTGATATTCCTTACAATTAAGTGCAGTTGTGGTTTTTGCATTAACGTGATGAAGTAAACTAAAGTGGAGTCCTACCGGGTATATAAAAGCAGTGTAAAACATTGGTTGTGAAGTATTAAACATGGGATAAAAAGAATCTCCCTTGATTTGTTGTTGTATTTGACTTTTATTCAACTCGTTGTGTGTTTTTACCCCCTCGCCAAGTCTTGGGGATATAAAACACACAACTCGTTAGATAAAAAATCATATCCAACTTCAAATCATAGAAGATCCCATATTTCTACCAACAAACA